TAGCAAGACGGAAAAGAGAAAAACCTGGTACGTAAAACATTTCATTCCAGCATTTTTTTCGAAAAAAATGAAATATCTGTAACTATCAAGATTTCTTTTATAATTCTGGCATATATATAAAACTGCTTCTTTTCCAAGATAAAGTAGATATTGTTGAAAAATTTAAAAAAAAGAATAAGTAAACTCCTCCCCAAAACTAACTATAACTGAAATGGTTTTACTACCAGCCTTTCCTCTTTTCCGTCTCGCTTTCACCCCTGAATGCAGGAACGCACGAATGTTGCTCTGACGACGACATTAATAGAAATCACGGATGGGGTACTCAATTTTGTGGGTTGCTAAACACTCTTTCTGAGTAGAATCAACTCTTTTGTATGGAAAATAAAAATTGATGTTTTTTTTTTATTGTAAACCCAATTGAAATAACAGTACAGCTCTCACGAGAACATAACTCGAGACTAAAAGTCTGAGGTAGTCTGCTGCTGTAAGAACAAGATTAAAACCACTACTTATAAGGGAGAAAAGAAAAAGAAAATGACATGACTTTTCCATATCAACTAATCAACTTTTCCATATCTTCTATAATATAATAATAGTAATCACATACTATTTACTTACCACTGTTTATTAAACAATATCATAAAACGATACGAAACGATAAATTAAATTTATTAAACACATTTCAACAATAACATGATATGAAGCACAGAAGTAAAATTCATGTCGTGATTTTACTTGATACTCGTAATTATACTTATACTTGATACTTGATTTATACGTGATTCTCCGAAAGAAAGACAGAGGGAACCACTACAGATTGGAGGATTCATCAGGTTATTGATGTGGTTGTTGGTTGGTTGATTGAAACAACTTTTCTGAACTCGTACTGAAATCACCTATTCATTCCATTAAAAATAAATGTTAAAATTTTTTCATCTATATAATAAATTGAACCTATTTACAAATAATTGAACCTATATAAACACTTAAGGCCTGTTTAGACGATCCAAGCTCTTGGACAAAGATTGATTGATATTGATGGAAACTTGTTTTGCTTTGGTCTACTATCGTCCAAGTCTTTGGACGATAGTAGAGCATGTTCTACTTTCCATCCAAGTTTTTACTCCCTTAACCAATCAGCATCTTAGGTTTTGTGACGTCAACAAGCAGGCATCAGATTACGTCATTTTGCTGTGTGTTCTCATATATTTTAGTCCAAATAAATTGATCTGTTACGGTTTATTTGTGTTATTATGAATTTATTTAGTTATTTTACACTGATGTAAGTACGATTTTATAATGTTGAAAATGAACAATACGCATGCGTAAGTTTTTCTTCCAACCAATCGGAGACATTCAAGAACTTGAATAGTGTGGACGAAACATCCAATTTTTTGGACAGAGAAATTCCTCCAATTTCTCGAATTCAAGAACTTAGACCGTGTAAACAGGTCTTTATATATAATAATAACCTAACCTATATATAATATAACCTATATAAAATGATAAGCAATACAAAATAATAAATATAGTAATTAATCTATATGTAATAATTGAACCTAATATATAAATTGAATCTATTCTGAAAAAGTAGTATTTCTATTATGCAGGTCGGAGAAAGCTAATTTTGATTATCATCAAAGATGCTGCCATCATTATATTCGGAATATTCGGATGTTTCATCGGAACATATTCAACAATAAAAGAAATTGTTCAGAAAATGAAAAAGCCATCCTGATACTTGGTATTTTTCGAGCATTTGTAATACCAGGATCTCTTGGACACTCATCTCTAAAGTTCAGGCCTGAAGGAAAAAAGAAAGCAGATACTGGAAGTAAAACCATTTTAATTTTAGCTGGTTTACGGAAGGAGTTAATTATGCTTTTAGTATTAAATTATAAACTATTTATCACTATTTGCTTTTTTCTCGGTAAGAAACAATCTTATATATAGGTTATGATTGTTAAAATGTTTTTTGATAAACATGGATAATTTACTCCCCTCAAAAGCAAATCTAAATAAAATGGTTTTCCTACCAGTTATTGCTAACTTCTGAGTTGATTTATATGAACTTCAGCCCTGCTATATTACACTTGTAAGCACTGTGATAAAAACATTCTAATTCCGTACGGTCGTTGATTACTAAATTATGATTTATTTTTGTATTTGTCAATTATAGCAAGATAGAGTTAGTCACAAAAATACCTGAATGTTACAAATAATTTAGAAAATAAAGAATTGTAATTCTCGCTAGTTTCATGCATGTTCATTGTCTTGTTGTTTTTCTTTTTTTTTTTTTTTTTTTCGGGGGTTTTTTNTTTTTTTTTTTTTTTTTTGTCAGGGGTTTTTTTAAAACATGTTATTTGGAAAATAAAATGAATTGAGGCTTAGGTTTCATATATTACAGGGTTCCCTTGATCTACAAAAATAAATGAGTTGTAGCTAATATTTTTCAGGACTACTGAAAAATGCTTAAATTTGTCTTTCATTTGTAAACTATTATTATTTTCGCAGTCGTATATATTTCTTTTAACCTTCGGTATACGGGCGTTTCTTATATACCTATCTCTACGAACACGCGTCAATTTGACGCATGAACAAATATATATAACAGCACTTACAGAGATGCCAACCTGCTATGGACAGCAAATATATATTTTAAAATGGTAGTTTATCAATTGTGACGCATGGTTTAATAAATTCAATTTAGTAGATTTTTATCCACCACTATTTCTAAATAATTCGTAGGCTTAAATAATTTACCACTCATAATTTCAAAATTTACTATTTACCGTTTTTTTAAAATTATTTTGGCGTGTCAGGAGCACTTTGCATCTCTGCAGTTAGAAAGTAATGTAATTATGTACAATAAGAAACAAAATGAAAATATGAGATATATTTATGAAATATTCTAGTATTTTATTTTTCAACACTCGAACTAAGCTACTGAAACCTTCAAAATCAGGCATCAATTGACATTCTGCGTTTGTTCTTTCTATTATTGCTTATCGGCAAAAGTTGTTTATCGCTTGTTTCATTTGAGATAACGGATCGAAGTATTGTCGGTACATTCGTTTTTATTATTGATGTGATGTTTGCATATTTACTCAAAATTTTGTCTAAATTACGATTGCGTCAAATTGACGCACATCCGTAGAGATATGTATACCACCAAGAGAATTTCAATATTTCAATGCTTTTGAAGAATATAGACTTTAATATATATTTACCTCAATCAATGGTTAAAAGTCATTCATTACAAGAGAAAAAATAAAAATTCAAACGGTTTTCATAACTTTCCTTACAAAATTCGAAATGCATCAGAATGACGCGTCCCGAGAACCTAGTGTTAAATTTAATATGTATTGATAGCTTAAAACATCAAGATATCTCCAATTTCGTTACCACTTTAAAAAAATTTCCACACAGTCGGAACCCAGTATTAGTATAATATTGGCATTTGTATCAACGAGATTCTTAATCCAGCCAAAGAAAAAAATTAAAAATTGGGAATTAAGAAAAACTGAATCAACACCAAAGTTGAAAGCCTCTTTATGCAAGTAGTATGTTCAGGATACTCAAAGAGGGAACTTGCTTTGACAACTGAACTTTGAATGGAGGGCTTGTAATGACAATAAAAATTAAAGTGGTGAAGAAAAATATCGAAATTTTTCCATTCCTTACCAGACATCTTCGGAGTGCATGTCTGGATGAAACTTGTCAATGTCCAAACATCATTTTCAAATGCATATGAATGCATGAAAATAATCGGCCTAGAAAGGACTTTTTATTTTGTTTTATAACCGTCGTAGAACAGCCGATCTTATTCCTCGGGTTTATAACTACTGTTGTTCAGTTCCGAAGCCTTGGAATTTTGATACCAATCCAGAAGACGAGGGAACTCCTGGATCGAGAATTGGGACAACTTTGCTTTCTTGGCTGACTTTTTGATTGAACTAACCCGCATTTGTGCTGCATGAAGAGGACAACTACTAAAACCTTCCACGGTTAGCCTGGCGGCTAGGGGGCGATCCGTCGACGACTGAAGATATTTTTCTGCGTGAGCTGTGATCATTGCAAGACAGGTGCGGAATTCGTATCTACCATCGTTGTGATTTCTACCCGGTTCAACTTTTTGGAAGCCGAACGTTCTACTCCCTGAGTCACAAAAGCTCACTTACAGATGTTGATCAAAACAATGTTGAAACTTCTGTACTAACTCTAAGTAAACAATTTTTCTTTTATCTGAAAATGTTTTGGAAAACTTTCTAGGGCGATAATGTTTGAACAATATGAAGCTTTTAAAACTTACGTCGTTTTCACCCATCCAAAGTTCGAATGAATCAAGGTTAGGAAACGAAGTTAATAACTTCTTTCTGGCTGTAACACAAGCAATTTTAACACTAGGTTTACGCGACGCGACATTTTGACGCATTTCGAATTTTGTAAGGAAAGTTATGAAAACCGTTTGAATTTTTATTTTGTCTCTTGTAATGACTTTTAACTATTGATAGAAGTAAATATATATTGAAGTATATTTTCTTCAAAAGCATTGAAATATTGAAATTCTCTTTGTGGTATACCTATCTCTACGGATGTGCGTCCATTTGACGCGATCGTAATTTAGACAAAATTTTGAGTAAACATGCAAACATCACATCAATAATAAATAGGAATGTACCGACAATACTTCGATCAGTTATCTGATATTGTTATCTCAAATGAAACAAGCGATAAACTGTTGCCGATAAGTAATAATAGAAAGAACTAGAGCCCCTGAATCAGACAGGCCGACTTATCATTTATTGTTGGAGCAAAGAGCTAACATAGGCACATAAATATTTTCAAGAGGTAGTTTATCAATTGTAATTCTTGGTTTAATAAGTTCGATTTGGTAGATTTTAATCCACCACTATTTCTAAACAATGTGCAAGCTTATATAATTCATCACGTTATATTACTCATGACATGCTAAACATTTTAAAAAGCAAGGAAATATTGTCAACTATTTGCAAAATTTACTTTGTAGTTATTTACCGTTTTCTAAATTTTTTTGGAGTGTCCAGAGCAGTTGACATCTCTGTAATAACATAACTAATACTAAAATAACGTTAACTTGCGAACTTGTTTGCTCCAATATTGCTTGATAGGTCAGCTCTGATAGTATAGGAGCCTTAGAAAGAACAAACGCTGAATGTCAATTGATGTCAGATTTTAAAGGCTTCAGTTGCTTAGCTCGAGTATTGAAAAATAAAATACTAGAACATTTCATAAATATATATCACATATTTTCATTTTTTTTCTTATAGTATATAATTACATTTCTAATTGCGGAGATGCCAACTGCTCCGGGCATGCCAAAATAATTTAAAAAAACGGTAAATAACTGCTAAAAAAATTTTGCATGTGTAAAGTGGTGAAATATATAAGCCTACGAATTATTTAGAAATAGTGGTGGATAAAAATCTACTAAATTGAATTTATTAAATTAGGAATCACAATTATATGTATTCTTTCATGCATCAAATTGACGCGTGTTCGTAGAGATAGGTATGTAAGAAACGTCCGTAAACCTAGCGTTAAACCCCTTCTGTAAGATTACCTGCCCTGTTACGGTTGGGTATAAAATAAAAAAGGAATGAAAAGTTGCTAACAAGCAAGTGATAACAATTTAAAAAAGAAAAATATAAAAAATTAATGGCCGGGTGAAACGATATAGTGGTACATTTTTGGAGTCGTGTTGCAATTTTACAACTCAGAAGGAATATTAATCTTTAAAGTCCCAGAAAAACAAATATATTCTACAAAAAAAGACATACCTCCTCTCCATAGAAGTTATCCGTACCTATGAAGAAAACAACAACAAAAACCAGTCAAAATGAAGTAGTCCAGCTCTTTTTACTAAATCTTTGTTGTTTATTGGAGATTACTAGGCAAACATCTTAAAATTATCACAGTGAGGCACAACATCTTAAAAATATCATCAATGGCACAACATCTTAAAAAAATATCATCAATGGCACAACATCTTAAAGATATGGATACTATTGGGTAGCTAGAGCAGGAGACCGAACTATCACAAGCTAGTGCATCATAAAGAAGAGTATTCAATCAAAAAGAATTCTTGATAACAGGATTGAAGCGTAACATTTTTCAAAAAGGAACAGCTGCCGATGTTTTCGGGATTTTCTTTGAAAAATTAAAACAGCATTACAATAAAGCTAGAAATGGCTGTGAAGGAGTCCATCAATGGCGGTGTATACTGCGGCGCCATGTAAGGTCCGAAACCCTTTCCTCAAAAGAGGAGGGAAGTAAAAAAAAGCTCCGCGAGGGAGTAAGTATATCGTTGGGGGGATGGAAGATTCGAATGCCACGAGCGTTTTTCGCGCTCTGGCTTTTATAGCAAAAAGGAAAAAAAACCGAGTTGAGTACTCAAGGTACTGAAAGTATGAATTAAAGAAGTAAAATTTTAAGTTGAGATGTATTATCAATATNATTTGGTTCATTAGTTCCAGAAATATGGTGAAAATTAAAATGAAAACGTGGGAATCGTGCTTTAGTCTCTCTTCTGATTAAACAAGTTGAACCATATTTCCATAGTAAAGAACAGTGATAAATGTTACTAGGTAAGATATGTTAGAGATATGAACCTAAACATCTATCTATATTACTATCTTTATCTTTCTATATAAATATTTTACGTGTCTAATGACGTTAGTATCTATATAAATAACCGTTTTAAGTTAGGGGAAAAACAAACTTGTTTGATAAAGGACTGAGAGTGTTTCCTACTTAACACAAGGCTTACGAACGTTTCTTATATACACGAACACGCAACAATTTGAAGCATGAACAAATACATATAACTTACAGAGATGCCAACTTTCTCCGGACCACAAATATATATTTTAAAGTGGTAGTTTATCAATTGTGCTTCTTGGTTTAATAAATTCAATTTGAGTAGATTTTTATCCACCACTATTTCTGTATAATTCGTAGGCTTATATAATCCACCACTTAATATTTGCAAAATTTACTTTAGTAGTTATTTACCGTTTTTTTTTAAAAATTATTTTGGCGTGTCTGGAGCAGTTGGCATCTCTGCACTTAGAAATCAATGTAATTATATACTATAAGAAGGAAAAAAATGAAAATGTGAGATATATATTTATGAAATATTCTAGTATTTTATTTTTCAATACTCGAACTAAGCAACTGAAACCTTCAAAATCTGACATCAATTGACATTCTGC